CGGGAGGCCGCGGCGTCTCGGCCGGCAGTGGTGGGTGAGGCAGGGTTACCCGTGCTTGGGACGGCGGGAGTCGGGCGGACGAGTATCCTCGCTCTGTACAGCGTTTCTTGTGTATTGGCATGGGCAGCTGCCTCACTGTAAGGCTGTCTCTACCAAACGATGGGGTTTTTTTGGTTGCTTGGCCAAACATGTGGGTTTCGTTCCTAAAAAGTCGCAGTGAATCTCGTGGGGCCCCTTCCCCATGGAGTCCAAGTGGTTCTAAAGTGAGCACTTGGGTTTGAGGGAGTAAACCTGTGGTTTTCAGGTTTTCACCCTTTTTCAGTTGTGGATCCATAATGCTTTCCGCTGGTGGACCAGATCTCTGGGAATACCTCAAATGTGGTATTTATTATTTTGCTTTTCTTAGTGATCTTTCCCAGATCTCTAGGAAGGGATTCACAGACAACCCCAAGAGGTTCACTGCCTGAAAATCACTGAAATTAAAAAAAAAAAAAAAAAAAAAAAGAGGGAAGTAAAAACAGAAAAGGGAAACCAAACAGAACTTTAAATGATTTGAGGATCAAAACTTGAAACTTAGGATTTACAAAGGGCCTAAAACCACCAGAAAAAAGCAGGAAACACTTAAAAAAGAAAATCACAACTGTCTTTGTTGTATTTTCCATTGAGATTCCTAAAAAGAAGTGTTAGGCTCCTCAGTCTATGCTGTGTTTGATGGCAGCCAGACTAGATTGCTGTGATGAATTGCTCAATTTGCTAACCAAGACACACGCAGATGAAACTTTATGATTGCTAAAGCTTTTTGTTGCATTATATTTATTTTTTTTTTTCTCTACCTCTGTGGTGGTGCACAGAATTTGAGGCACCCAGCACAGTCTCATAGCACTAAAAAAATGCTACCATCGAATCCAAACTTTCACTGTTCTGTCAAAAGAGAGAAAATTATTCAAATATTAAAAGGAATAATAGGCAACCTAAATAGTGTATGCTTTTCACTACCACTAGCTGCTATGGAAATTTTCTTCTTTAATGAATGTTATTCACGAAAAGGAAAGTGAAGGAAGGATAAGGAGTACTTATGATACTAGTTTTTATTCTGCTTAGAGTCTCAAAAATCACTATAAATCATGGTTGCCCTGTTTGCACACACGCTGGATGCAAATAGGCATTAACTGGATTAATAACAGTCTGTTAAATTTAACAATACAGTGAACATCAGGAATGAATTAATCTGAAACCCTTTGGTTACCAGCACAGCTACTTAAATGGTGTCCTTTGGCGCACAGAAATATTCGTACGCTATATGCAGAAGGGGTGGGGAAGCCAAGGGCTTTTTCACAAAGGAGGTTCTGTTCTCAGTAACATGATTCCAGTTAGTCCTGGCCAAAGCAGTAATGCCTACAGCAATTATGACAAAGGGAAAGTATTTTTAATTTTAATTCTTTTGTTTCATCAGTGCTGTGCAAGTATGAAGAAAAGGAAGGTGAGGGGGGAGGGTTTGGGTGCTGGCAGTTTGAGTTATGATGTGTGAAAGAATGTCTGGTGTGAGAGTGGTATGTGAGACATGAAAGTGTAATATTTTTAAGGTTTGGAACAAGGGAAAGAAAACCTATGTTGTGTTAGAAAATATGGAAGAGAAATTCCGGGCATGTCTTTAAACACAAAGTTGATACACCGAACATCATTCTGTTGAAAGCAAAAGATGTCTGTTTCTGGTTTAAAACTAGTATTTCATTTATTTGATTGGATGGCTTCACACATGATTTATTTTCTGTTGAAGTTTATCCTCCCATGTAAACCTCACCATCAGTGGAAAAAACAAGCTGCTCCATAAATAGCAAAATTTGTTGAACCTGTTTTTCTGTGACTGGTGACCTGCATCCCCCTCACCCCACTGCCTTTTCCTTGCAGCACTTACCTCCCAACTCACGCTTTCCTTTAAAGACTCATGCTCTCCATTCTCTCCAAGTCCAGTCTCAATATCCCTAAAATATCTATGGAGCAAGAGATACTTTGGATTTGGGGAGTGCTTGCTCGTACATTGGTCTGCATGTGGTGTTCGGTTAGCAGCTGACCAAGCAGAAGGGTTAAGGGTTGAGTTCCTGCTGTACCGTTTCCCTCATTCGGGGTGACTAATGTGTGTGTCTCATTTGAACCCAGATGCTGACTTTTGCCAAATGGTAAGAATATAATTGCAGGAGACTTTTAACTCTCTGTTAAACTTGACTGAAATTGGCCATTGTGTTCCGAAAGTAGTTAAGAAGAGACTGGCAGAAACCACAATTGCAGAACTCTTGTTTTATTTGGAAACCAGGCAAAAAAAGTCACATTTTTATAAGCACTTGGTACCATATGCTGAAGAGTGATCCTTGTATCTTAAACTTATTGTTTAAGATAAATAAAATATAAAATTGATTTATAAAATAAATGAAATAAAGATTTTATCTGCCTAACCAAGACCGATTTTAAAAAAAAATATTTCTTGTAAGTTAATCTTGGGTCAACACTAGACTTTCACTTGTGCGGTTGTATCAAACATCTTTTTTATTTATAATAACACTGCAAGCAGATGTCTTTAGATTAGATGCAGGTAACATGTTGAAGTTAAAACTTTGGTCAGTTTGACTGTTAGTCTTGCTACTTTAACCTGAAATAAAGGCTTTAAAATGTAAAGTTTTCTTAAATCTAAAGTCCTAATAATATCTCTTTAGCAAGTCCTTTGCAGTTTTGATTTTTTCCCCTAAAATGATGAATTCCTGGGAATTGGGTGTTTCATTTCATCACCATGTCAGAATGAAATTTGTTTGAAATAATCAGCAAGGTTTCATGGGGTAGTGATAGCGCAATCTTACTGGAAAACTTCTGGGTTTCTTTTTTTACATAATTTCATGTTTTCCAATCCTCTTTCTTAATTGCCTGTTGCTTGCCTCCAGCTTGAATTATACAACTGGTGGATCAGCCACTAAATAAATCTCACTCCAGGAATAAGACCTCGACTTTTCCTTCCTTTTGCACAATTAACGTATGTCATTCTAAAGTTCACTGCTGATGAAGCTGTCCCAAAATGCAGTTTCTCAGTAGGCTGCTGTGCTATCATCGTCCTTGGTTAGGTGTGAGAAACTTGTAAGTTGTTTTCTGTAAAGCCTGAAATGGTAGAGTAAGTCTTTATTTACAAAAGACGTTGGAAGTAAATTATTATACCTTTGTATTATACTGTTAATTTCACCCTATTTAACTGTATGGTTTTCATTTTTTAGCCATTCTTTGTAACCTGTTTGATCTGAAGAGACGTGTTTCTAAGTGCCCCAAGTCCTTTCATCTTCTCAGTATTTGGTTTCACTCAGCTTTGTGATTGAGAGCTTTGGGTCTTTTCAGTCAGAGGTCCTGAACGGTGTGACCTCGCTGTTTGCCTTGTGAATATTTCACAGTAATGCTTAGACACATTCTCCTGACATTTCAAACCGTTCCTTGACTGGAAGGCTGGGGATCAAGTTCTAGATGTGATAGATTGATTCACTGTATGACAAATTATCAGTTTCCTTTTGTGTTATTTTTCCTTAGTAATACTTTACTTCTGTTTCTCTTTGTTGGTGATATTGTAGCAAAAACACACTCAGGAGTATGGAAAGATCTTCAAGTCTCACTTTGGTCCCCAGTTTGTTGTATCCATTGCAGATCGAGATATGGTTGCTCAAGTCCTCCGGGCAGAAGGCAGAGCACCACAAAGAGCTAACATGGAATCCTGGCAGGAATACAGAGACTTACGAGGGAGAGCCATGGGACTCATTTCTGCGTAAGTGTTGTTACTCCTTCATTTTCTAAGTTTTCTTGTAAAAGTTTAGTGATTTTTCTGAAGGACGGTACAGGTCATCTGGGAATTCAGGCCTTTCTGTGTGGGGAAATTTGTATGTCTGGTGGAGGGAAGAGGGTAGGAATTTAGGGTGAATCGTCTGTTCTGCTGTGAATTTTCAAAGGGATGGTAATGATGTGTAGTTTGATGGTAATGACGTGGAATAAGCTACCTTGCATACAAAACATTCTTGGGGAATGTGTATCAGCCAGAGATGTCTGAGCTGACTCGCTTACCTGGAAGCAGTATTGCAGAATAGGGCTTACTAACTTTGGCACAGCCCTGTGAAAATGTGGTTTTGTTGCTTGAGTTTCTAGACTGTTGCATCCCGTGGGCACTGTGCTGTGTGGACTTGTTGGCTCTGGCTGGCTTTAGCTTCACTGTTCACCAAAGTGCCCTCTCAGTAGATTAATGCAGAGAAGTCACTGTATGGTATATTCACACTGCAGTGCATCCCCATGCAGATATTTTTGTACGTGGCTGATTCTAGAAAAGTGATCTGTCTTTAAAGCTTGCATAAGCTGGTAGTGCATGTGGGTGTAGTTAATTGCCACTGGAAACTACTCGCAATCCCCACTGACATAGGATGTTTATTTAGAGGGAAACTGATTTCCTGAGTCATAGACAGACTGTTTCTTTCATGGTGGTAAAAGGCATTATGTATTTCACTGCAGACTCAAATCTTAAGCTGCAGTTCAGAGTCAAAGTAACAGATCCTTGATATTTTGTTGAAATGAGATCTTAAATCAAGAGATACTCAGAAAATGTCTGTTAAGGATATTAAGTTTTTTTGCTGGCCAATAAGTTTCTATACCTTGCAGCAGCATTGCTCCAGGTGAAAGAATTTAATTGGAAATACTTATACAGCAATTTAAAATAAACTCATAAAAGACAATTGCCTGTCTTCATAAGGAGTTGAAAGATATCCCTGGAACCACTGTTCCCAAATATTCTACTCATGCAGATGCTACAATTCAGATTTTTAGTCTTCAGCACAAAGATTTCAATACATAGCTCAGCTAAAGGAGAAGCTAGCTGTAAATCGTTAATCTGTAGCTAGGTCTGCTATCCTATTACTTTGTAGGTTTAGAATTAGGGTAATTTAAAGTGGTGTATAGGTAATGGCATTTATGGTACTATCTCAAATTGATGATTTGTCAGATCTGGATGTGATACTTTTGGTAATAAGCACCAATTCTAGATAAAAGCAATTTTGAAGACTATCCATTCAAATATTTATTTAAAGTAATTTCAGTAAGAAAATTTTGCAAATTTCTTGTGTTAGCTACTACAAAAATGCTAATATAGAGAAACTTGTCAAATTCAGAACACTGAGTGGACAAGTTCTGTCACTCAGACCCAAGACTGACTTACGGATGTACATACACGTTGCAACACTGAAATTTAATGAGGACGTGCAATAAATACAGAATAAAACTGTAGGAGTGTAGTACAAAATATACATTATCATAATTTTCATTTCACCATTTGCTTTCATTTGAGATGAAAAATCATGAACAGTTTCACTGCGGAGCTCTTACCCAGCTAATGATTGTTAATGAGAATTGTGTATAGACATTATCAATAATTTCTTCTAGGGAGGGGGAACAATGGCTAAAAATGAGAAGTGTGCTGAGGCAAAAAATTCTGAAACCCAAAGATGTGGCTGTTTACTCTGAAGGAGTCAATGAAGTTATCACAGACTTAATTAAAAGAATCCACACCCTCAGAAGTCAAGAGGATGATGGGGAAACGGTGACCAATGTTAACAACCTTTTCTTCAAGTATTCAATGGAAGGTAAGCCCAGGCTGTATAACATCTGTAAAGAAAATGGATGTAAAGCAGTGTGCTTATGGTTAGGCATTTTAAACGACTACTGCCCCGTTGTGATTAATCTGAAAAGGGAATCTTGATATTCTGTATTCAGGTGTCTTCCTACTTAGTGCAGTAGATATCAGTAGAATTCCTTTGTAGAGTCCAAAGAGATGATAACTTCTATGAAGGGACAATTCTTGTGGAAATGCTGGTATATGGGTAAAATGTACAATCAAGGCCCTGAGCCATTTCAGTGCTCCATATTTCTGTATTAATTTCTCAAGTATAGGGGTGTGTGTGACTTCTAAGACATGTTAATTTAACAACATGCTGGCCAAATTCCAGGTGGAGAATCCCTGTGTGATGTAACTAAATTCTGTTCCTAGCTTAATGTGGGAAAAGATACTGCTTTCCCCTGCCTACGCGTGCCAACTGTGGGATTGTTATGCTTGCCTTAAATCATCTGCCACAGGAACTCTAGCCTGAGCTAGCACAGCATTTCTTGTGTTTCCTTATAGAAATCTAATGGTGATTCATATTTCATGTGTTCCTTTGACTGCATACAACCTGATCTCGTTATATGTAATACCTTTTAAAACATCGGTACTCTTTGCTGAGAGGCAGCTGAAGAATTTGAGATTTGCAAGAACTTCCAAATTGCTCACCTGTGAAGATGCCATATCAAATGGCTGGCTGGCTGTTTGGTCAACTCACCTGCGTCTGTTCTACATTAATAATATCTAAAAATGGCATTCAACTAAGAGTTACCAGTTTTATGGATTTTTAAACTCTGAGCTTACAGATTCACTTTAACTGATGGGTCAGTTTAAATTCTTTGCATTATTTTAGCTTTTCATTTACAACTTGTGCCTGGCATGCGCTTATTTCCTATATGAATTGCAGTTTTAATTAACTTACACTGTCAACTGTTCAGGGAACCAGTGTGTAAGATTTTTTTGGAAGACCACGTAAAGAGCAAAAGAATGCATAAGAACTAGCAGTTGCTGAAAGAGGCATAAGAGAAATAAAATACACAGAAAAATATTTCCCCAGAGAGGAAAATTAGGGAAGGAAGAGTGAGTTGAAAATAGCCAGATTTCAAAATGTTTTTGTCAACACAGGAGAAATATGAAGCAAAGAACAGGGAAAAAGAAAAGTTTCTCTAAAAAAAAAATATATATATACACTTGAGAATTTGTGGAGAGTTTGATGGAGGGCAAGATGAAAGTTAAACATCATATCTATTGTACCTGTTTTTCATAGGAGAACCAGAGAAAAAAAGAGACTAGAGTGTTAATAGACCAGTTACACTAATTATCTAGTTAACAGTTATTCTAATATTTCCTGGACAGATGAGGACAAACTTTTAACTAATGAATTTAAAAGCACAATGTTTATTAAAAACATTGATTTGGTGCAAATGGCTTTGAGAAATTATCTAAATGCCTTTTAAAATTACCTAGTTGCCCCACTAGATTTTAGAAAAATCATTGAATATGATTATTTTGATAGTAGGAATGCTTTTTGTACTGTACCATGTGATATTTTCATAAGTAAACTGGGTAGTATGATCTAGATTTTGCAAGTTAGGAGGAAAAGTTGCTAGAAACCTGTGTTCAGAAAGTAATTAAAAACGGTTTGCTGTCAAACTGAGAGAACATTTTGGCTAACTCCAGTAGGGCATTTTCTGGCTGAGTTCTGTCTAATGTTTAATAATTTGGATATGTTTATAAAAACTGAGCTGACAGATTGCAGGGATGCTAATGTACAAGTATTAACTTGATAAATGGAACAAATGGTCCAGAGCTGAGAAGAAGAAGAAGAACAATTTAGTAAAATTATATATAAAGTACTGTTCTTCGGGGGAGGTGGGGGGTGGGAATGGCATTTCTAGTAGGGATCACTGCAAGACTGCAGACAAAAACATCTGAGGAAATCACAGCAGGTCAGGAACAATATTGTCACTTGCAACAATGTTGCACACCTGCTGTTTTTCAGGGCCCCATGGAGTATATTGTGTGCAGTGAAATCACTGTCTATAGAGTGCAAGCTCTTTATACATTTATGCATGCTCATTATTCATTTACTACCAGCTTATGATGAAGAAAGGCATAGCCACTGCTAGAAACCCTTGCATAATCACCAGTTATCAGAAATGTCTTTGGACTTGTATGTCCCTGTGTGTTCAGAGGCCAACGCAGCAGGCTCAGGATTTGTGGTGCAATGCAAAACACAGCGAACATGCTGGAGGGCTGCTCTGCTTCTGGTGGAATTCCTGGCTGTCTTCTCATGCTGAGCATTATTTACATAGTAGCCACTGCCTCGCTACCACATTTAGCTGGGATGTTTTACTGTGTTTTAAATTTCTATTTTATCTGCTCCCAACTACAGTAATAATTAAACATTTTTGGCAGGTAGTTTCATTATGTTAGCATTATAATTGCTTAAATTATTGATATGTATATATGCATATGTGTAGAATTTTTTTTTTTATTTTGTATATACAGGTGTGGCAACTATCCTGTATGAATGCCGGTTGGGCTGCCTAGAAAACAACATCCCACAGCAGACTGTTGAATATATTGAGGCTCTGGAGTTGATGTTTAGTATGTTTAAGACCACTATGTATGCAGGTGCTATTCCCAAATGGCTTCGTCCACTTATTCCAAAACCCTGGAGAGAGTTCTGCAGATCCTGGGATGGACTCTTCAAATTTAGTAAGATTTAGTAGTAGAAAAGTTCGACTGTATTTCTGCAGGTTCTGTGTGTGTTTGAACAGGACTTGTTGCATTTCTCTTCTAAAATTATAAGAAGATATTGTGGTAGAAGTGAGTTTCATGTTAAACTCAGACTGGCCAAAGGAACCATTTTAAAAAATACTCTACTGAAAAAGAATTTTACCGGTACACCTTAAATATTCCCCTATTTTATACTGCTGTTTCTTTATTTGTCTTCAGCTGTTTCAGTGCCCAGTCCTCTCTCCAGGTCAGAGTTCTTTGCCAAGGCTTTATCTTAAGCCACTCAAATTTTAATGAGGGTGGGTTTGTTGTCTTCAGCAAGATTTCAGTCAGGCACTCTGACAAGTAATCACCACTAAAACTGACTAGAAAGTTAAAAGATGAGACTCTAGCAATTAATTAAACTCTTTGTGAAGTTTATGTATGCACATACAAAGATGTAAGTTGACATAGAAGTACACTGCTGTAGTACAGCATGTTTTTTTGTGAATAAAGCATTCCAGGCTACTTTATTAATCAGCTTTCATGTAAGTAAGACAACGGAGTTGTCTCTGCAATATATTTTTTTTAATGTTCTAGAATCTTTAAAAAACCTTTAACCTGTTTTTCCTCTCTAATGTTAGAAAGCTGCATGCATTTTTTAATTTATTTTATTAGTACTGTTTGTCTAGGTAGGTCTGTGTACATCTTCTTGAGAGTAAATTCTTCAGTTCCTTAACTTTTAATATGCCTCATGCTTAGTTTTTAATAGGTATTGATCTGTACCTACAGTAGGCATTAGGGAATCTACTTAATACTGGTATGGGTGTGTTTTCTGTGAAACACGTACTTTTTTACACTGCCACTTTCAAATTATTTCTCATGATAAAGCACTTTTGTTCCCTTTTGTGGGTTAAAAACAACAGCAGACTTCAGCTTTATACTAACAGCAGCTGAAAAACTGTTTGCAAGGAATTTGTTCGTTTGAAACTTGTTATGCGCTTTCTTTGTTTAATCCCTTTATGAAAAGGGAATTAAATGATGAGGAACATTGTATGCGATGTGTATGTTCGTATAGGTTTCATAAAGAAACATGTTAATTCTAGTTCTTTTTCTTTTTTGTAAGCCCATTCTGCGAGGCATTAACTTTCTGAGTTTTCTCCTTTTTAACGCCCCTGTTTCACTGAAGATGCTGTTTGTAGTCACTAAAGTATAAATGGGACTGTGGGTGAGATCGCTCAAAATATCATTCACTGAAGTTTTTCAATTTTTGTTATTACTTGATGTTCCTCATCTTTGTCTTCAGTGTGATTCAGTTCTGTGGCTTTGACCTTCGGGTTGCTGCTAACGTCTTGTAGCAGCTGCTGTGTGCTGCCTTGCAGCATGCTCTGCAGAGTTCACCACTTCTTGCAGAGCCATCAGAAAACAAGCCAGGTGGGCGTAAAAACTTGACCTTGAGCTTCCTTTGCTCTGAGTTAGAAACTATAGTCTCTTGTGTCCTTCCCTCGTGCTCAGCATTCTCATGCCGTGAGCTACCAAGATTCCTGCCAGCTCTGTCTTTCCTTACCATGAGTACGCAAGGACCTCCACCCACCACTGTATTATCTTTTCCCTGAGAAAATACATTCAAATATTTTGTCTTTTTATGGCTATGTAGTATAATGTAAGGGGGAAATGTCATTACTGAATGGAACCAGCAGAAAAATAAAAATGGAGGCTTAACAATTTTTTTGAATCCCAAAGGTCAAATCCATGTTAACAACAAATTGAAGGCTATTCAGTCTCAGCTGGACCAAGGAGAAGAAGTAAATGGTGGGCTACTTACATACCTCCTAGTGAGTAAGGAACTTACTTTGGAAGAGATCTATGCCAATATGACTGAAATGCTTCTGGCAGGAGTAGACACAGTAAGCTTGTTATTGTATTTCTTGTGAACAGTTGTTTTTGTAAACCAGTACTATTTGCACCTATTTTTGGGGGGGGGTTATGTTGTTTAGAAGGATGTAATTTCTGACACGTTTAAGTCATTACATCCTTAAAATTATAGAAAATACTTACAGCACTATATAATTCCTCTACTAGAATGAAGTCAGTGTTTTTCTTTTCTAGCTGTGGTTTACAGGAACCCATCACTTGAGAGTCAGTTCCACAGTTTATTAAATGGATAAAATGGCTATTGTCTTTATGTTCAGCTTGCATTTCGTACATTTTCTTTTCCTAATGTGAATATCAGGTTGGTATTTGTGCTTCTTTAGGTAGACCATGATAGAAAAGACTGCTGAAAGTTAGTGTGAAAAAAATGATTAATAAACTCGTATGTAGAATTTGGTAAAGGATTATGGCTAATTAAATTAACTGGGAAACACATTATGGATCAGATACCTGGTTTGTGCTGAAGTCTGTTAGGAGAGGGGTGTTAGGCCAGCACTAACATAGGTAAGGCGTAAGTTTACCACCCGTGCTTGTGCTGGCAACATGCAGTCAGTCTGAGGCAAAGAGCTGTGGAGATGAGGCTCAGCATTAATGCGGTTAGCATATGAGGCATGTTTACACCTAGTGAAGCATTTTAAGTGGCCATCTTTCCTTATTCTTCTGATTTGTCATCTAGAGAATTTGAAGAAACTTTAAGGTCATGTTATACATCATACCCTCCTTTAATTCCTATCATGTGAAAACAGTGCAGCTTAATATTGACTGCAGCATGACAATCAGAAAAATAAGAAAAGATAAAAATGAGTTTTTTGTATCATATATGGAGTTATTTAGAATATCAGTGAACACTATTATTATAAACTATTGTAAATGAGCAATTTTTTTAAAAGATCTATATGAATTTGATAAAGGAAGTGCTACGTAGGACTGTGTTCAATAGTCTTGCAGTAGAAAAGATTAAGTAAAAAGTAAAGTAGCCTTAAAGTAAAAAAAAAACTTCTCTGGATAATTGAATTCAGATTTTTTTGGTTTAAGAAATTTTGTAAGGTTTCTAAAGAAAACAAAAAATCCCCCAACAGTAATACTTTTGAATTCCAAAATAAGGAGCACATGTAAAGCTTATTTATGTGCTGAAGATTACTCCATTCGTTAAATATCCCAAGGGATTATGAGTTTGGAGAGCTTTTTGATGTTTGGTTCTTAAGTAAAGCACAGTTATTCATCCCATACATTTTCTAATCCTTCAGACCCTTAATTTTCCATTTTTAGTGTGTGAGAGAGTTTTCATTAAACTAAAAGGACAATGTGCAGGTTCATGCCAACAAGAGTTTCTCTTTCCATTTGACTCAGCTTTCTCAGCTGGCAACAATCGTTTTGTGAGAGGATGGTCCTTCTGATTTCCTCATTTCCAATTACAAGACAGAAATTGAGGGAACCTTTTTTCCCCTACTGCTGTCACTTCAGATCTCATTTTATCACAGAAAATGAAAGAGGTTTAAAGGATTATAAAAGCTTTCAACAAAATTGTAAGGCTACAAAGCATTTCGGCTGTCCCTGGAACAGTGCTAATTTTTGAGAGGTTATGAAGGAGCTGGGAACCTGAGAAGAACAAGTGTTTGTATCAGAGAAGTTCTGTGTACAGCTGGCACAATTGCCAGCTCCTCTGACCTCTGAGAGAAATAGGGCAAGGTTGCATTTTAGCAAGGGACAGCCACTCCATATCACAAGAAGAAAAAAAGAAAGGTTCTGAGAATGATACTTCTAGCATTATACCCCAGTTTGAAGACAAGACGTAAAAGGTCACTGTCATGATGAATTTGCATTCTAAATTGATCTTAAATATAAGCCCAAAATAAGACACTTCCAGAAGTTGGGTTTTTTACCTATACGTTATTTATAACCTTAAGCTTTGCTGTGCCAATGAGTGGGAAGCTGAAAATAAAACGTTCCTGCCTGGAGAGTGAAACTGTTTGTCGGTCTTTGTTATACAAGTTGAAAAATACACTTTTTAATATTTCACTGGGAAAATAGCAGCATGTGTTGTTTTGATACTTGGGGGATTTTTAGATGGAAAAGGGATGAAGGAGGGGATGGTGAAGTCTGACGACATCCCGTTGAGTCCAGATGTGAATCATTGCCGGACTGTTTTATAACTTTAAACATATAAAGCACATAGTTGAAAACAGATTGTTTTTCTTGGCTTGAAATTATTTTTAATATAATCTTGTTGGACCTGATGATGATGGTTGTGGTTTCTTCCTTAGACTTCTTTTACTTTGTCCTGGGCAACATACTTGTTGGCAAAGCACCCTGAGGTTCAACAATGTGTTTATGAGGAAATAGTCAATAAGCTGGGGAAAGACCAAGTTCCTGTTGCTCATGATGTCCCCAAATTGCCTTTGATTAGAGCTGTGCTGAAAGAAACCTTGAGGTAAGTAGCAGAGAACTGCAATCATTAATTAATAAATTTAATTCTGTGTAGTTGTAATGGATTTTGAGTCCATGCTAACGTTTGTATTTAGTTGTTGTTACTGCTATTTGATGCTTCTGCTTTTATTTATTGTAGCAGTATCGTGTCCAAGGATGACCAAGCAATGTAATATGATTGTTTATATAATGTTTAATATTTTTAAGTATGGTGAAGTAGTATCACATATTTAAGATGTGTCCGTTGAGGTAGGTGATTGAAAGCTTTATTTTTGCCTTTTAAGTGTTAGTCTGTATGATGGACAGTAACAACCTCCTCCCCCACACAGCACTGCGAAGTGGTACTTTGCAGTACCACTACAATCGTTTTAAGCTTCTTGACTTAAATTGAAGGCATGTGACATGCTTTTTTCATATGTTTATACCAAATGTTCATAGTGAGGCGAGGGGAGTAAGAGGATTTTAGAGAAGGCATCAACAAGGCTTTTTCAGCTCCAAATAGTGCTGAAACGTCTCCAGCTTGACCAGCTGCTTACATGTTTGGTTGTACATGTGTAAAGCAAATAAATATGTAGACCAAATAGCTCAACCTCCAGTTACTAGTAAATAACTTTTCTCAGGTGTTAATCATATTCTCACAGATGATTCAAGGTCTTTGAATCTCCAAGGTGTTCTGTACTTTTGAAAAAACTTTTTGCTGTGAATCTATATTGCATTCATATTGCATATTTGTGAATGCAAATTGGAATCTAAACTTTTTAAATTGTATTAGTTATTACTGTTGAACTTCTCATAAATTTTTGTCTCTAGGTTATATCCAGTATTGCCAGGAAATGGAAGAGTGACCCAAAAAGACTTGATTGTTGGAGGATACTTCATACCTAAAGGGGTAGGTTCTACTGCAGTCCTCTGCAGAGAACACAGTTTAATTTTTGTGTATGAAATGTGATTTGTTATAACATATAAGCACTGCACTGATTTCAAAAGATTTCACCCAGCTAGACCATTTAAGAGGAAAGTATTTCAATAATACCCATTTATATGACAAAATTGGATTTTATAATTGACTTGTTGCTGTTGTTTTTTTAGATTTGGGTCCTCACATGCTATTCAAATTTACCGTCATGACTTGTTCTTAATACTTTTGGGGGTGGATTCTATTGATAACATCTCTGCACAATGTTACAATTTGATTAAAAAAAATGTATTATTCTTGCAGCTTTCTAATCCTCTATCTATTAATTCTTTTTGTAGAATGAGTTTAATTTTCTTTTTAAATTATGAATCTTTCCTTTATACTATTCAAAGATTACACAGAGATCATGGTAGAAACTTGTGGCTCTATTTTACATAGAGAGCATTTCTGTGTTAGAGCAACATAGCTCTAAACCAGTCAGGATTCTTCATTCTTAATATTCTTTAAATATTATTCCACACATATCATCCATCATATCCTCCCCTCCCCCCCAATTTACTTGGAAACATCATCACATCAATTATTGCTGCTTTTTTTTTCCTGAGGTGTTTTTTTTTTCCTTCCCAACCTCCATTTTTTATTGTATCTCTCTTCTCCCTTTCTCTCAGATTATCTTTTTGAGATAATTCCCAATACTTGTGACCTTTGTTCCCATCTCCTTCCCCACTGCATCATCTCTAAGATATCCAGCAACATTTAAAACAATTTGAAGATTATTTCATTTGACTAGTTGAGAAAGGAATCTGATTTTCTAGGTACCCTTTTTTCTTCTAGAATTACTCAAAGATACTTAATTTTTATCACCTCATATTGCAGTAGTTACGGTAATTACAAATGCTTTTTTTTGTTTTGTTATGTATATTGGAGTTAGCCAATGTAATTTATTTCCTCAGACGCAGCTGGCACTCTGTCATTATACTACTTCATACAGCGAAGAAAATTTCGCAGTGGCAAATGAGTTCCGACCTGAACGCTGGCTGAGGAAAGACAATTTGGACAGAGTAGACAATTTTGGTTCCATCCCCTTTGGTTATGGCATTCGAAGTTGTATAGGAAAAAGAATCGCAGAGCTGGAAATTCATCTTGCACTGATTCAGGTTAGAACTATGTGGTAGCATTACAAGAAGTAAAATATATTGGTATGATTCTTTTCTATGTATACCATTTCTGGATATCTTACAGTGCACAAAACCTTTGTTTTGGAGTGTCATCTAGCATAGTAATTCCTGCAAAGGCTTTAAAAATTGAAAATAATCATGCTTGAAATGTAGCATACTAGTCAAACCACACTGTAGAAGAAAAATTCTTTATAGTAGAAATGAAGTTAAACTAAAGGTAAGATTGTTAAGGAAATATGTGGATTAGTACAGAAGGTTTTCGCAAGCAAGTTGGAAGTCTTCATGTTATATTGGAATGGTTACCTGCTTAGTTTCAGTATTTTAGTTACAAAAAATTCAGTACTTACAAAGACATAAAAAAGTTTTTGTGTCCTTGTACTGACCACAGTGTTACGACAAATAGAATTTTTCTATGTTCTGTGGTTTTCTGTCCTTTCTTGTTCTTTCTCTTAACTTTAATATCATTTTAGGTATACATAATTTATAGTTATATAAGTAGTTAGTACATATTGATATACATTGTTTTCCATTGCTTCATATCATAAAGAAAACTTTTCCAATAGCTGCTACATTTTTTTGTCATTTACAAGACAGCCTTTAACTCAAATGCTGAGCTCAGATTGTGCAATCAAAACTTACAGATTTGGAAACTATTTATAGTTACTTAACTATAAAAATATATAGACCCATTATGTGTATTCAAAGCAAAGCTTGATTGAATTTGCCTTAGAATTTCTTTAAGGAAACTCCTAGAGCAATCTCTGAATGACGAGCGTCTTGTCTCTCGAAACTCAGTGAGATAGCTCTCAGGGGGCTGGATAAAACAAACATACTTGCATCTTTTTGAAAAGGAGGATCAGGGAAGTAATAGAGAGACTGCTTTTGTTTTCTGGAAAGAAACTAGAACAAAATAGCACACAACCTATTTGCAAGCATTGAGATTATATTTAAGTGATTTAAAAATAGAAGCACACAAAGCAAGGAGCTGATCAAAGAGAAATTGTTTCAGACCAGTCTGATTTCTTTCTTTGACTTGATCACTTACCTCATGTGGTGGATACAAAATAAATCACACATTCTGACTTAAGGAAATATTTTCACACGTCCTATACATTGTTCTCACAATTAAATTAATAAAATTTGTTCCAGATGGAAGTACCTATAAAATTCATGCACAACTGGTTGGAAAAAAGAGATAGCTGGAGGCAGTAGCTGTCAGATATTTGCTGTTCAACTGGGAAAACGTTTCATTAAAATTCTATAAGAGTTTGTCCTGCATTTGATTTAGGTTGGTATTTTCATGAACAGTGTAAATGATAGATTAGAGAATACTTTCAGGGTTTGCATAGGATACCAAGCTGACATGAATTAAGTTAAAATTGGAGGATGTGGGTATAGAATTACAAAAAAATTGAGAAATTTTCCAAAATCAACACAAAATTGTTCACTAAGGACAGTTGCAAGTTACTGCTTTTGAGAAGGAATCAAATGCATAAATACAAATTGCTGACCAACTGGCTGGGTAATTAGTGCAGTAGAAACAGACTGGAGTGACATAGTAAAAAATCGGTCAACAATAACGATGCTAATTCTGACAAGGCAGTGTAATTCTGGGGTATATTAACAGTATTAACAAGCATGTTGTATGTCAGAAAGAGGAGGTAAATTACTCAGTCGTACCAAACACTGGTGAATCCTCAGCTAGACGATGATAGGCGCTGATCCTGTGCACTGCGTTTTAAGGACAATATAGTCAAATTGGAGGAAATTCAGAAGACAGAGAGAATAACAAGAATGAGAGGTTTGAAAAAGGGAAGAATGAGATGAAAATTTGATCTAACATCTAACACTGAAAAGGTAGCTATGTATAGGAAAATAATGCATTGTCCATCATGCTTACTAGGAGAAGGATGAGAGAAGATTGCTTAGTTTATAGGAAAAAGTGTTTGAGATTCAGTATTGGGAAAAGTTGAGGATGCTGCGGTATTTCTTTCTTGAAAGTTTAAAAATAGCTAGGTGAGGTATTCTATGTTCAGCTTCAAAACGGGTGAGAGAAATCTCTTGAAGTTTGTTTTAGCCTATGATTTCTATGATTTGTTTGCAACTGATTCTCTCGCTTTCATTAAGTGTATGGAAATAGAGGTTTAGTGTATAATTAATAATATTTAACCTGTGTGATTGAACTATAGTGATTCCGTTCAGGAGTCATTCTAGTATTTGACTCCTTGAATTCTGATTGCTTCACTTGGTGTGCTGGACAGTTGCTTTTTCGTGTTTGTTTTGTTTCCTTCTGCCCAGGAAGAGCAATGTGTGTGATGGTATTGGGACTTTACTATTGCTTTGTTTTATAATTGCACATAATGATTTACATGAAAGGAATTGAAACAGAAAACACATAGAGAGGAAGCTCACGAAGTTTGAAAGAGACCTGAGTGTCTTTGATAGCTCAGACTGTTTAATCTAGTTGTGTGGAAATTCTTCAGAAAGGACTGGCTCAGTCCTCCCTCAAACAGAGGAGGAAGGTTTTTAACTGCAATCATCGTTCACACCATTTTTTTCTTTCCTGTGTGGGAATCATAGCACTTAGACTCCACAGAACTGGGAACAGAAATTTTGCTTGGTACAGTCTCTTGTTACGTTTTCTTTTCTGAAGTCTAATGTTAATCTGTAATTTTTCATCTTTTCTAATACTTGTCCTGTTTATCTTCACAGTTGCTTCAGAATTTTGAGATCAAAATTTCTCCCAAAACCAAACCAGTTCACGCCAAAACCCATGGACTTTTGACTCCTGGGAACTCCATCAATGTGAGATTTTCTGACAGAAAGTGAGACTCAGATGTTTTGGAAATACTTGTGTGATTTTCATGGGAACAGACTTTCATCTTATGGATGTTTAATAACGCTTGTTCTCTGGTTTGTAGATATTTGGCAAGATGATCAAGTATTATGTTCTGCCTTAGTTCTAGCAGTACGTAAGAGAAATTACCTCTTCTATAATAGATAATTACACGTATGAAAATATATACTGAAAAAATTCCTTCTTGCACTGCGAATCTCCTTTTACCTGGAAAGATTTCTAGTAATAACAACATGTGCATTGAAAAAAAATGAAATTAAATTCAGACATGTCGGTATCATTCAGTGGTTTTGTGACACTGCTTTGTCATAGAAGTCAACAACTCAGTGAGTCTGTTTGAGAGCAAGAGGATTACTGTGTAAGATGTGAAAATTAGCTGCATTTATGAGTTTGTGGTTTTCTGTTTCTGTTCTCCCAGTGTTTTTTGAAAGTTTCCACCTAACGTTGAAATTATGAGATAATTTTTCTCTTGTCTGTAAAAACACTCCACGTATATTAACAAGTTAATACAGTAATATGAAAATTAAAGATAGAAAAAAAATACAATTTATGTCACTTTATTGAGACTCTACAGAACAACTAAAAATGTATCCAAAAATAATCCCATAAAATGTTTCTGTATAATTTTTAGAAAAAAATTAAAAATCTTAAAGTTTAAATGTCACATTGTAGCGTTATGAACCCAGACATTGTCTTCGTCGCCAAAGCATAAGCTGAGTGGAATAGCACAAGCCACTTTCACTGTTCTAGCTAATATTTTGCCAAAACCAAATGTAAATAATAAAAATGAAGTAGTTGTTACATTTTTTTATCACTTAATTAAAATGCTACTATTAACTATCTTCGCAGTTCTTCAACAGTAAGAACTGGAAACTTTCCGTGGTCACATTCTGAACCCACAGGCAGGTGCACAGTTGCCTTCTGTAGGATGGAAATGTGACTACTGAAGTATTTTGAGAGTTTCTTACTATCTAGCATCTAATGAAAAGAGTGGACACCTGAAAAGGGTTTTTTAATTATTATTTTATTTTTCCTATAGCAACTAATAGAAAAAGTCTCTCTTGCATGATACTTTAGTCTTTAGGTAACTTCAGTATCACTGCACTAACCTTATATTCTCATTTTTGAGAGAAACCTTATATCTTGGAACCATGTTACGTCTTGAACAATGCTCAAACCTGCATATCCTGATATGAAGTTAGCTATGTAATTATGTAGAAACTGTTTACATGTCAGGCTCTGACTGTTGTTTGTGAAGTAGTTTATGTACTGATAATTGTAAACTTTTCAAACGTATCCAGAGTTAGAAAAAAGTTGTGCAACTCAGTTTTTAAAATGACAAGATTTTTCTTTCCTTATTTAGCTATAAGAAGTCAAAGACAGGTTACAAATTAAATAACACACTATAGTTTTAATGGTATATGTGAAATTCCACATAGCTAACTATTACAGTCACATTGTAATATTTTGGTTGCTTTTTGTAGTGCCTTTTCAAGGTCTTGACAAAAGAGAAAAAATCTCCTTTGTATGGACCTTGTATATAAAATCATAACACTAAACAAAATCGATCTGATCTGTAAGAAGGTTAGATGTTTACACGATGACTTTAAAAAGTTAATCCTGTATTGAGCATATATATGTACTATAAGAAAAACAGGTAATCTGTGGAGGGTTTTTTTTCCTTGAATGAGCTTGCCTTCTGATGCTGTTTTCCAGGGCTTTACATTATTCCCTTTTTTTCCTTTCCCATTGTTATTTCCAATTGTCCCCATCTTAAATAGAATGAAGAGGGTTGTATTTGCCAGAGCCAGCTGACATCCCGAAGGAGATGTTTTGCAAAGGTCTGTTTAAAAGTCTGCGGATTTGACTCCATTACGCTGCCTGGTTTTGTTCATGTGGGGACCAAAGAGCCCAAGCCTTGAATCCAAATTCGGATCTGTATGGTGCCCTTCTTTTGCTTTGTCATAGCATCGTTAGAAACACCAGCCATTGCTATGTTGCAGCACGTTTGCTACTTGGTATCAGTCCCTAAGTAATACATCACTGTAGAAGAGGGTAGAGGTGTTCTAAAATGCTCTTTAAAGCATTTGAATATTTTCATGAAAACAGAAAGCCTGTGATTTGTTTTAATAGAGCATCTATCCATGTAAGTTGTCTTTTATACATAATAAAATATTTATACAGAATTTACAATTCCTGGGTCTCATTTTAATTGCTGTTTATAATTGTGTTTTCTTTAGCATCTTAAAAGTTTTTATTTTGTTGGATAGTACTGGACGATTCACTGCTACATGGGAAATTACTAGTTCAGCCAGAAAAGACGGGGATTCATACAAGAATTTAAGGTGCGTAATGACCTGGCTGAAGGAGAGATAACATTGTATTAAGAGTCCTGTCATTCTGGAGGAAAGTTACTGGCAAAGTTACTCAAGAAATACCCTAGGACAGCTTCTAATGTAATGTTTTTATTAATGATAATTGCTTAATACATAGAAGAGGATTGATGATATAAAGAGTGAAGGCATAAAGTATATATATTAAAAAACCCAGAATGTAATAGAGATGGGATGGGATTTAATAGCAAAAGACATGTATGTGGGGAATAAAAAGAATCTGAGATGCTCACTAGTTGAAAATGAAATATGTAGAGGAAGACCCAGGTAATCACAGATGACTAGAAATTGCAAGTGTGTTGGAATAATGAAAAATACAGTCTAGAATGTGAGAGACGAAGTATCTCTGATAGAGACTGGGGAAGAATAGGTGAGATTGCATCTTGAGCGCTATGTACAGTGTAGTTATGTGTTCAAGACAGTGGAGTTTGATTTGAAGGTTATACTACACTGCTTTTTGCTCTGCCTCCCTGTGGTTTAAGCAGACCACAAGCTTGCAGATCAAGCCCTGGCACATCTGGAAGCTATGTAACCATGGGCTTAGGAGAACTTCTTTCTTTGGACACAAAACTGCTGGCTTGATTAAGCTCCTTCCAGTTGGATTAGATAGCAGGTAGCAGAAACATGGGTGTCTGCAAGAGACTAAATATATCCTCAAAAATATTCATGTAGTTAGTCCAGAAAAGTGAATGTTGAGAGAGGACATAAATGTTTTGTTCAAATACCTTCAACTTAAGGAGTTTACTCCTTAAGGTAAAGGGCAATGCTTGCCCAAAACAAGTATCACCAGCTAGCAATAAATAAACTGGTGTAGAAAGTTTCAAGCCATCGGGAGAATGGGAGTTTAGAATAAATTTACTGTGAGCAATGGTGAAGACAAAAAGAAAAAATGCCCAACCAGCTGTGAAATGATGGAGCGTGGTGAAAAGAATTCTGTAAAGAGGTTGCTGAAGTAGAATCACTGCATTCAGTCAGTCTGTTCTCTGTTTTTTCTTATTCTGTTGTAGGTACATAGGCGTGGAAGAAATCTGGAATGAGGTCAATGGTGAAGCAGTCACAACTCCAGCAAAGTTGTATGCCAGTAGTGAATGAAATTTATGAGCTGCTTAAATACCCCAGCACTGATGTGGCTGTGAAGATGGAGAGTAGCGTACCTGGCAGCTGTGAACATGAGAGAAGTAGGCACTGGGGGAGTGTTTGGAGCTAGAAACAGAAGGATTGTGCTGTCACGCACAGGACTGGGGAAGGGGAGTAGGAAGGCCATGCAGAGTGGAGGCTGTGGGGCTATATCAAACAGATAATCTATGAAAGCATACATGAGATCAAATTTAAGGTACTGGAGAGTTGAGCTGTGGGCTGCATGTAGGATGGGGGAGGACAAGAGACATAGGATGAGGCAGGAGCAGTTTGCCCTCATGATGTGTGTGCTATTTGTACCAAATACCAAGATAAAAAAAAAAGGTTTTGATCATTGAGCTTTTCCTTCCTATGTTATGTTGTCACATAATGTTCATAACTTAAAAAAATTATATCATATAATTACTAAAGATTTACATCTTTGGTAATGCCAAACTTCTCCTGTGTGTGCCCAGAGGAAAACTCTGTGGGGATATAACAAATCACTAATTCTTAGTGTTCCAGAACTACATTAGCTTGCACTGGCAGGCTCCCATGGAGGCAGGTGTGTTGGAGGGTTTTTCACCTCCTGAAGTGTCAGTAGAGGATTTACAGGGTCATGTGAAAAGCAGATGCTAAGATGATTTAAAATGTTACCAAGCTATAGTCATAGCACTGTACAGCTACTTAGGAGGACAAATGTAAATACATATGCCAGCACAATCACTGTGGAAGACAAACCCAGCTGGTGGTACACATTGGACCCTTCTGATTTTTGCAAGGTCTGTGGTATGGACTATATTGAAGCAAGAGAAACTGCACTTCACTGGAACATGTGTTGGAAAATATTAGGGAAGAGGTCCAAAGTTGCTGGATATTTCTTATTCATATATAGGTTTTCATCTAAATTTTACACTAGCAGTAGTAAATAATAAACCTAGATGGGAATGTGTGAGTAGTAACTTTTAATATCTGATCATTTAAAAAATATTTTTTTATATATATCTATGCACAAAAAAATATTTTATCCTCTGTGATTAATACACATTCACATATCTTTTTCCCTTTCAAAGAAAATAAGTAGATGTATACCCAGAGCTTGCAAATATTACTTATTCATGTTCATGCTGAATTGAAAAAAAAAAAAAGTAGATGTCATGTGAGTATTTTAAAACAAAATTTCATCTGAGTTTCCCCTATGGCTTCCAAAGTAATTTTCTTCAAGGAAACCATTGAAAATACTACACTGTGGTTTTGGTACCACTAGATGGTGCTGCCTTTATAGTGTTCCTTAGTAGAAGTCAATGATTATGTATCTATGGGGAAAAACCCCAACTATAGCTAAAACCAATGCACTTACTACAGCTTCTTAAAGATAGAGGAGTTCTGTTACACTTGTTTGACAAGGAGTCTTAGCCTTTTTATGTGTAAATGTCCTCAATTTGTGTTCATCTTTTGCATAT